TTCAGTGTTGGTCCGGCCGGGGCTCGAACCGTCGACCTCCCGCACAACATTCCAGCACTCTAACCAATTGAGCTAACCGGGAGGCGGTTATCAAACTAGAGGCGAACAAAACGCACATAAAAAAACCTCTCAAACAAAGAACTTAAAAACGACCAGATTAATTTACTGGCAAAAGGGCTTAAATTCATTCCAACACCCGCTACAAAACAAAAACAGATCAGACAACAGCTATTGTGTGACTGATCAGTTCGCAAGGAGAATGCGTCTGATTTACATATTCCGAGGGGGGAACAAAAAATCCCATCCCTGCCACATCAAATCTACATGGATACCACCAGTACAAAAATCAGTAGCCCTTGAAAGCTATTTAGAAGAGGCTAAAAGTGACTTTTCAGAAATAAAAATTGCAAAGCCAAAATATAATTTGCTTCCGGCCGAACGCAAGGCGCTGAGGGCCTGGAAACGTGACTCTGAGTTAAACCTCAAAAAGGCCGACAAAGGAACAACAACCGTAGTCATGAACAAACGCGACAAACTTTTGCCGTTCCTTTCCGAAATCACAGCCATTCTTTCAATCTTCCTTTGTGATGCCAGGACAATTACCACTAAGAATTTTAACCTTTTCCTCGGCAGCAAAAAACGCAGATTCCAGAGTTATATGGTCAGACATGGAGTGTTTCTGGTATTTCTCGAGGAACGTTGGCCCGATAGCCTCGTCCTGAAACTGTAATTCCGCGGACCCTTTGCATTGCAGACACAAATGCGATAAGGGCTATTAAAATAGTCATCTGGGTGGGCTATGAGCTATTTTTCAGAAATGGGGATAAAGTAACCAAATGATTCAAATTCATTCAAACCTGAACCATTTTTTCCGTGACGCTTTCCTTTGTTTTTCATTGAAGGATCGTGAACAAAGATGAATAAGCTTATGAGGCGAGTTTTCTAACGCTAAAAGTAACTAAATCCTACAAACAAAAATAGGAACAAAAATCAGTATCTCGACCATCTTCAATGCATAGAGGATATTACACGGTGACGAGGAGATATTAGAGAGATTTAGCACCACGTTTACATAAGACGTGAACGCTAACAGTGTCCGCGTGACCTTCTTTTTCCCGCCATTTTTTCACTTTTAGCGGTTGGGCTTTGTCGCTTCCGCGTAAAATAAACCTACCAAAACTTTTCCTTGCAAGTCATACAGGGGCGCCATCAAATCCAACATGAAGTGAGCTCACGCGAGGCTAAAGCAGTAAGGTTCACGCAATTTCACGTGAAACTGAAAGGAAAAGCTGACGTTTGCAGTTTCACGTAAACGCAGTGCTTTATGTTTGAGCGGCAATATCTCACACGATCTCTGCGCTAACTCGTGAGATATTATTCGTGCCACGAGGACGTAAAATTCATGTCTGTGAGCTCCTGTGTAATATTTCTTTCAATTATATGGAAGATAAATATACATGATAGAGATTGCAAAGCTGGCTTTGATACAACTACTAGGTATTAATAGTAACAAAATATTGCCAGTGCTCAAATTATGGAAAGGGTTCAGTACCTGCAACACCGTCAGTTAGGCAAAAATGCAAAAATACATGTGAGCTGATTTACAAGTTTCATAAAAGTTTGATTACTGAGCCTGAATTGAAAAATCAGTTACTTTTATTTCCAGCCTCTCTTCACCACGATACGGCACGAGCGGAACAAAACTTTCATTTTGTATCGTCACAAATTTCTAGAAATTCCTTGAGAATCTTAAGGTCATACAACGTTTTCTTTCTGGCGTTCTCGTTCTCGTTCTCTAGTTGCTCGGAAAATGCATTTACACCTTCGTCGCTTGCCACAACACATCTTGCGGCCTATTATTCCAAACAAAAAAACAAACCAAGTTTATTCAGCAAAGTTTAATAAGGCGGGAGTTGTAACGTTGTTGCTGAATATTTCCACAAGTGTTACATACGTAAAAGACACCAATCGGTTCGCGGATGTTGTGGTCCCATTGATTCTACGAGTGTTTTAGTTCCCGGTATATCATTCCCATCCATTTCGAAATGGGGCCAAAATGGATTGTTCTTATGTAACGGTGAAATATCATATCGACATATCCTATATTTTTTTTACAGGAAGATATTGAGTTCGAAGACCTGGAATTAAGTGGTCCTGATTCAAAAAACTGCTCAGCGTCCGGGAGAGTACATGGATTTAAAATAATCAAGCACCGATGATTCTCAAACACAAACTGCTGGCCAAGTTGCTGATTACGCGCCACTTCATCCATCAACATGCTCCTGGGAAGTGTCAAGGGATCATGTGACAGTAGAAAACATGGATGGCAAGGGGGCTTTCGGCCAGGTTGCAAAGGGAACAGCCAAGGAACTTCGAGGGAGGCCCGGGACGACCAAGATAGCTATCAAAATACTCAAGGGTAAGGCTCGGTAATCAAATTAAGTGAGTTCAAAATAGTTCTACTCGTCCTTTCAGAATTGAAAATGGTAAGTTTAACAACATCTAAAAGAAACGTTCCCCCCTTCCTGAGGGTCTCAATGGGGATTAACCGTCAGCCGTCAGAGGTTCCAAATTTTAACCTTCAGACGTCAAAAGGATAAATTTTTACCACTAACCGTAAAAACAGCTGCTCAATATTAGCCATCAGAGGCTTTAAAATTTGCTTAGGATCTCGCTATTTTCGCTGCTTACCGCGAACAGTTTAAAGTCTTAAAGTGTTTTTAAACTGTTAAACCAATCTCCATGGTTTCCATACAAACTCACTTTATGGTCATGTTTACTGATTTTCACCTTACCTGACAGTTTGGAAATATTCTGATATTTAATTTTAATAGCTTATATTTAAAAAGGGCTAACTTCTTTGATAGCTTACTGATTCTGGCCAATGGCCACGCCATAATCGTTATTCCCGCCCTTTGACCGAGACACAAAAAATTTACATTACGTGGAGTGTGTTGAAAACCGTCGTGGGCTTCTATCGTAAAGGAGAAGATAAAGCTTTCACGTGATTCACGATTACCAGCCGGGGAAAAGCGTGGAAAGTCTTCGGCAAAATATCATCGATTTCCTATTGAACAATGACTAGTCTAAAAAGTTTGGGCTCGGGTCATATGAGCTCAAGCTCTGCCGACTTATAAAAAATAGTGAACGACCACGCTGTTTCACGTTTTAAACATAAAACCTTGGGCCGACCGCAGCGAGTCAGGTTACCTCAACTACCTTGGGTCCCCTAACATCATGTAAACAGGCCCTACATAGAGTCGACCTCGCAGTTTTGGCCATTTCATTAAGATGTGTGACAACACCTCAGAGAACGCGTTAATATTGAGTGTCGGAAATGTCAACGATTTGCCGCGATGTAAAGGCGTTCTTGAATATGGTGTTATTGATTGCAAAGTAGAACAGCAGCAGAAATCCGCCTTGAAAAATCTAGGAGTCAGGTCTATAACAAAATTCTGCTCCTGTGGTTTGCACTTGTAAAAGTGAGAAGTAAGGTTTTTATAAAACTAATCATAAATTATCATTGGGGGTCTTAGAAGTACGCCTCACTGCACTAAGTCAAAGGAAGACTTAATAGGCCTCAAAATAGTTAAAAGCTTATTTAAAACGACGGAAATCATCGAATAAAGTCTTTCTGATCACCTAAAATTAAACCTTCAGCCATCAAAGACTCTAAAATTCAAACTTAAGCCGTCAAAATCGGAAACATTATCCGTCAGTCGTCAAAGCTACCCCTCACTGAGATCCTCTTACCTATCTTTGATTAAACAAACTCAGACCACACTAAACTTGACGCTAGTTTGTACTCTTTTACGTTTTTCGCGTTTACTATAGGCAAGACATTCTAGATAGCACACAATGACTGAAAGTCCCAATGTTTACTACAAGTTCTGTGAAAGTCAAAATTAGCGAAGAGAGTCCTCACTGGGCAATTCACTTAGCTGATTAGTGTAAAAATTCATCTTTAGATGACGCTTCGGAATCGGAAAACAGGGATTTGATAAATAAACTGTAGACAATGAAGCAACTAAAACCACATCCTCACGTCATCCGCCTTTTGGGATGTGTTACGGAATCTGATGAGTTGTTTTCTTTAACTGTTGATGAGAGATTTTGACGCAAAACAAAAATGGACGTGTTTCCTCTCATTCTGTAATTTTCTTCTTACACAAATACCTTTTACTGTACATTATTGGAATAACCCTGCTAATTACGTACCAGTGCTTCTTTTCTCCTTTTTTCCAGGGGTATTGCTGGTGTTGATTGAGTATGTACCTTTTGGAGATCTGCTGGGTTACCTGAGAAAAAGCCGTGGATTAAGACACTTACTTCAAAGACCCTGATAGCAAACCACAGACAAATCTGACGTCACAGCAGCTTATGAAGTGTTCTTGGCAAATCACTGATGGAATGAGTTAGTTGTCCACAAAATCTGTAAGTTTTAACTGCAAAACAAACTACAGAAAAGGTAATCCAATCTCGGTGTTCAATGCAAATATCTTAGTTTATAATTCAGTAGTTTCATTTCACTGTAACTTTGGTGTCTTCAGTCTTTCGGTTCATGGTTTTAAACTCATTGTGATAGCACGTGTTTGGCATGAATCGACTTAGTTGGACTATTCCTGATCTTTACCGAAGCAGGAAATTATCTCAGAAAAGAAATATTCATTTGCAATTATTTCAATATCACCTAATTTTTCTCTTTTCATTTAAATCATCGCAATCCTGACTACATTTTTAGTTGGGTGAATCCTGTGTATTTTTCCATTTTACAACTTCTTAAATGGTATTACAGAACAAAGATTGATTCACTTGAGATAGAAATCATCATCTTTGATTGATTATCATTTCCTGTGATTAGAACATCCACCGAGACCTTGCAGCCCGTAATGCGTTGGTTGGGGAAAAACGATTATTATAGGATCAACTTAAACCTATTTAATATTTACAATCATAAATTAAAATAGTAAAACATTCTAGTCAGTATACACTTAAAACTTAAAGTAATGTAAAATTACGGAAGGCGTGCCTTCGCCCGGTTTTTTAAATATTTAAATAAACACGATGTAAAAATATGCAAGTCGTCACAGATTTTCAATTCCTTTGGTAGATTATTAAATAAAACGGCCGAGGTGTCTTGAAAGGTCTCCTTTTCTAAAGGAACCTGCAGTCTAATACAGTCTGATGAGCGCAGTTCTCTACGTTTAGGGACTCGTTGTAAGTTCAGATATGTTGGCCACTGTTTAAAATAAAGCGCTTTAAAGGTCAAATTTAGCAAGTTAAAATCCCTTCTTTCTTCCGCAAGAAGCCAATTTACCTTTAAAATGTCTCCAATGTTATTAACATATCTACCATAAACAAAACTTGCGGCAGCAAACTCAATGTTTTGAAGGCGCTTCAGCAAGTATCGCGGCAAAGGTTTTAATTCTACGTTTTTCCTGTCGGAAGAAAATATACATTGTTTTCAGTTGGTTCACCATATCCACGGATGGCTGGCAGGGAAAATGCAAGATCACTCCAGCAGGAGTACAGAATGCCTGGGCCATGCCTACAGAATGCCTAAGCCATGCCTACAGCATGCCTAAGCCATGCCCACAGCATGCCTACACCCCAACATGTGGATGATAAGTTGTAAGCTGTTGATAGGATCTCTTTTCGTCGAAATTGCAAGCAAAGGGCGAGCTTCTGTCAACCATGACTTGTCTTTTCCCCATTCAAAGGAGTATTTCGCTTAATGATAGTTACAGCCGCATCTAATATCAAAGCTAAAAGTTTCTTTAGAAGAAAACATTGATTTCTTAGTATGTTTGTTTGTTTGTTTGAATGTTTGTTAAACGTTTTCCAATTCATAAATACCAGGTACCAGATAATGATGAGATGCTGGCAAAATGACCCGGATGGTAGACCGACATTTACCGAAATGAGGAACCAGCTTAAGGACATGGAAACCCTACACAAGGTGAGACTTGTAATAATCAAGACAAATTTTGATTTTCACCATGACTAGATTAAAGCTTAGCCAGTTACGCTCTCTAAATCAAAATTTTACGGTTATACCACTGTTTAGAAGATATTAATGTCATCTGATTTAGACACAACTGGTTGGCTCGTCTTTGTTTATGTAGCCAGTATTCTTCGAAGTGATTAGTTATCGTTTGCAATTGGCTTTTGCATCAAAATACACGATCTCCAGATATTACATATTTGAGAGGTGACAACAGCCATGAGCTTAGATAATAATAATAACAATAAGAACAAATAATAATGTCCTGTGACGTAAGGGAACACACTCAGTTTTTCATAATCTCATGACATTGTTTCTTTTTTTCTTCATAGAGGCTGATCAACATGGAAATGTATGACAAGTATTTGTATGCAAACTCTGGTGATTGCTCATCTCAGCTGATTGGGAGTGAAATTCCTGATGAAGCTACACTACCATTGAAGTTGAACGAATTTCTTGGCGGCCTAACGGCTCATCTTCGCCCATTAAAGCCTCTTTTACCGGTATTTGGACCGGTGCCTGTGCACCTGTATGCGTGCATAACATTCCTCGAGCGAAGTCACTCTTCTTCCGACCTATTACGAAAGTTAGTGCCGCGTTGTTCATTCACAAGACCATATGCCCTTAGGACAGGAGAGATTGTGTCTGTACCTGCCTCTCCAAGATCTAAAGGATTCGGAAATTATGCGCCATCAAATACCAGAACCACGTTTAAAATACCGAATTACGATTCGTCTTAATACTCATAGTATTTAATATTTACATAGTATTCAATATTTACATTTAATTGATATCTATAATGGCTATATTTAGGTGTAAAGTAAGAAGTATTTGTAATTAGTGACCCGTCTTGTAATTCAGTGTATGCTGCAAAAAAGTTGAATAAACGATCATTATTATTATTATTATTATTATTATTATTATTATTATTATTAAACGTTGATGACCTAAACGTGTAGACAAAATGGAATTCGCGAATTTCTCGCACATTTTCGTACGCAGTATCTTAATCTTAATTAATCATGCATAATATCTCACTCGCAATTATCTTGCAACACAAGCTTGTTTGAAAAAGACTGGAATTCACTCAAATGAATCCATCAGACAAAAGTGCGCAAAATCGCATTCAGATCATAAACCATCCTGGTGATAACAAAGTTTTTCTTAAACCAGCCTTAAATATATATCTAGTTTTTTTTAATAAAATTGTATATGAAAGAAAAATAAAGACGGCAAAAAAAAATATGTTGACTATTATATCATGGCTTTTCAGGCACCGTTTCTCAGCTACCAATACCTCCACACCCTACACCGTGACTATGGTGTCTGCAGCACCTTTGTTACTTTCGCTGCACCCTTCATCCAATTTATTTTTTATTTGACCAAATATTCCGGTAAGTATCCGATGTCCATAAATCACTGAGGAAACTTTTATGTCTATATAAATCTATTTGAAAAATTTAAGAAAATCTTTCTCCCGAGTCGGTGCTAGATGGTAAAACGAGTTGCTACTGAGTATATTTCACCAATCATTCTCATTTCCATTTTCAAAGAAAGTTTCTAAGGCAGTTTTCAATTGGTCTGGGTTACTTTTCAGACAAACTTAAGGATCTTGGTTAACAACGCGTCCACTGAGCCCTTAGTCATTGACACAATCCAGTTACAGGAAACAAGCAATCAATTCAAACTAAAGAAGAATTTGCAACTCGCGTTTTGAGCTGGAAATCATACTGGTTAGGTTGTAGTTGAAATCCTTATTGATTATCGGTGTTTTCAAATTTCTAATCAAATTGCAAAGCAGCAATAATCAGAGCTAAAGCTAAATCGAACCGGAAGAAATAAATGTAAATTTAAATTTTCAGATGGAAGGGGTTGTGTGAAAATTGGCTGGAGATAAAGAGAGAACAAGAAGTACAAGGCGCGAGCAAGTCGGGAAAATGCGAAAGAGAACGAGAAAAGACGCGAAAAGAGAGGAGGAAACACAGTCGAAGGGACGCTAAATGGAACATGAAAAAAACAAGTTAAAAAGGTGATTATCTAGCGAAGAGCAACGTGAGAAGGCGATGCAGACTGAAACAAGGTAAACAACAAACAGAAAACGAATTACAAAGGATTTGAGAAAGAATAGGAGGTAAGTTGAGTCTTATCTGAGTTTTCTCCCACGCCAAGGACCTGAATATTCAAAACCTTTTTATCAGTGGTCGTTTGATACTAGATTCAGTTTTATAGTTCATTGCTTGGAAACCTTCGCGTCGGTTCGTCGCTCAAATAGCATCTCAGACCGTTCGTATTCTCAATATAATTTCTTGCTCCATTATTTGGAATATTTAATATTTAATACAATGGTGGTGTTAAGGGAGAAGAAGTTATCTTACAGATTTCTTCTGGGCTAGAAAGTTTTCAAATAATAGCGAACGGCGTAAGCAAACTTTTATCACTCACTCTTCAGGTAACTACCACAGGGTTTACTTTGTTTTTCTCATTCTCGCTTCTTCTTCTGGTCATCATTATGTTCAAAGTAATGCACCCTACTCTCAGTCGAGGAAAATAAGAACAAATGCAATTGCTTTCAAGAGATCTCAAAATTATCTGCTCCAACTGCTATCATCATCGTCATCTGCATTAAAACTTATCTGGGTTGCCCAGCGCTTGTCCATATTCGTGGAATATGTAGTTTTCATTTGAACTCACAAAGGTCTGGTTTGGTCGGGATGGAACGGAAGAGGTAACGCTTATCACCGTACGGACTTCCACGAATTGGAAGCAAAAGGTTTTCGCTAAAATTGTGTACCTTTTAGGATTTCTACAATAATTTTCACTTTTCCAAACAGATTAAGGATCACCTACACCCATCATGGAAAAAAAAAAGGTTTGCAAACAGACAAATTTTAAGAAATAATTTTCGAAGTCTTTTTAGCAGCTGTGCATCTCACACAACAACAACAAAGATCGAAGCCGCCCGAAACAACATGCCCCTCGAGTGACCTGGTACTGGCTCGGCCAATCCCAGCGTTCATTCTGATCTCAGTATTAGCAAAGTCACGTATTACTCCTTCGCTAATGTCAACTGTAGAACACGAACAGGAAAACAAAACACCAATGGAAATTGACCAAGAAAAAGTTAATAATAGAGGACGCAAACGAACAAATGGAGAATATGTATATAATCAAGCGCATGCCGAGTAAACCTCTCGTAGTTCATCGGTATATATGTTCTTTCAGCATTCGTATATTTCATCCACTTTTTTCCTATCCGCCATCTGCGAGGGTCTAAAATAGGTTTTTCGGTATCCGAGCTTTGACTAATTGCAAACTCGGGGTTCGGAAATTTTATGCCTTGTTAATTAAGGATTATAACATAATCAAAGTAAAGCGCGGGCTCTGATTGGTCAATTTAGTGTCCACCATTTGCCCATGGGTGTACGCTGCTGACGCGAGCAAATGCAAAGACTACTTTTCCACGCGCGCTTGTTTCTTCTGGTCACGTAAGATTTATTAAATGAAATAAAACTCGTGGTAAAATGTTTCAATGTCATGTTATAAACAAATGGTAAACGCCAATGTACACTTTTGAGTTATGGACGCACTTGGAAGATTTGCTAGGCACTCAAGAAGCTAGAGTCGCTCTCGGCTATCGCCATGCGAGACTCTTACGCTTCTTTCGTGCTTAGCTTTCTCCCGCGTGCATCAATAACTCACTGCAATAGTGTACGCTGTGGTGTTTACCATTTGTTAATTGTGGTGGGACAGATGGTGAGATTCTGGGCGGCAGAAATGAATAGTAGGCGATATTTTGGAAATTATTGGAAATCGGTAGACGGACTGGGAAAGCGTAAAACGTTCAGAGATAATCAGACGGCGATCTTGAAGAGAAAAGGAAAAAAGAAACGGTAAAGTACGTTTCATAAGAGACCGATTCAGAATTTCCTTATATGGTTATGCGGTTGCGATATATGATCTCTTAAAGTTTCGTTTTAAATCTCTGCTTGCTGAAAAGAATTAATGTCAAGCAGTGCACTGTACCGCTCTTATATGAAAAATAACAGCTTCGAGATATACGTGTTACTTTCTCGAGGGAATGATGAGACTCTGCACGGCGGATATTACTAGAACGCGAGATTTTGGAATTTATTGGCTGGAATCAGTATAAGAACTGCGAAAGCCACTGTGATGACTTTTTCAGATATAATCAAACTTGTACAAGCGGCATATAGAGATTGTAAAAAACTAGTATGCGTCAAACACCACTGTTTACCTGTCGTTATAGGTATTCTATTACAATCTGCAGGTGTGTTCACACTAGTACTTTCGATGGATTAAGCCTACTGGTTTTCACCATTGAAAAACCGCTAAAGATTTATTAACAGTAATTGTTCATTAATAATAATAATAAACAATATTTACAGAGAATATCACCAGTAAGACGGAGAAGAGGAGGCGATTTGCAATTATTTCAAGAAAGGATTTGCCCATGATGAAATACTTACACTTTTAGATTAATACCATGTTATTTGAATGAGTATTGCTACTTTGAAGAGGCGCATTAACGAATAAGGTCTGAAAAGAGGAAATATGTGATACAATCTGAATTTAGTTCGAAACAAAATCAGAAGTCTGTTAGACGGACCCTACTATATGGGAGGCTATAGACATATTTGGCACACTCTAAAGATGCAAGGTATCAGTGTTCCCTATCCTGTTGTCGAAACTTTGCTCAGAGAATTGGATCCCAAAGGAACAGAGGAAAGAAGGGTGCACAGGCTTCATAGAAGAGCCTACAGGAACAATGGGCCTAATGACACTGGGCACTGTGATGGGGATGATAAACTCAAACCCTTTGGCTTTCCTATTCACGCCTGCGTCAATGGATGAAGCAGAAATGTTTTATGGTTGTATGTAATGCGATCAAACAACTGGCCGCATAATATTGCGACCTACTATCTTGAGGCTTGCAAACAACAAGGTGGATGTCTGCAGAAACTGATTACTACTTCGGGGACTGAGAATGGATTAATGGCCTCAATACACAGTTTTTTTTTTTAGGATCATTTAAACAGCCACGGTTACGTTCCCTCCCAGAGAAGAGGCGTGGTGGTCCTACTTCAGAAGAAGTAGAACAAACTGGTGGATGAACTTTTTCAAAAAATTAGAAGACCAAGGAACATTTAATCCAGCTAGTGAACTAGAATCCGAGTGTTTGTGGTTCTGTTTCGCGCTATTATTGTAGCAGGATATGAACCTGCTTAAAGAGCATTGGGACGCTCATTACATTCGAAAGTCAAGACGTGAAACCATACCTGGACGACCCGATTCCTTGTAGTATTTACCAGAGGATCATGATGGGGCTCTTAACCTGATAGCACATGTTCCTGACAACGAGATGGAATATGCTAGAGTGCAGTTAGTTAAACGAGCTGAAACAAATGAACATCAGGAGTATTTCCAGTATGTTCTCATTACTTGTTACTCACTCTCTTCGGTTTCTTTTCCTTCTCTCTGCTAGTCCATTTTGCCGCATCTTCCGACTTCACTACAAACATTCCACAGCAATGGCAACAAAGTGTCACGTGGCTACGTTGCTCGACAGAAAACTGGCACTAGCCTTACTTCCCCTTAAATTTCACTTCCGCCGTGACGTTTTCAAATTTTTGCCGTGATGTTCACAAACTTTTGCCGCGGTGTTTACAAACTTTTTCCGTGGCGTTTACAAACTTTTGCCGCGGTGTTCACAAACTTTTGCTGTGGTGTTTACAAACTTTTGGTTACATTTTTTTTTTGTGGGCCACCATAGTCTACACAGAAATTAACTATAGCTATCATTGACGTTTTACGTCTGCTAGTTATTTATACTAACACAGCACACATGCATTCACAGCTGCGCTGTGATCTTAAAAAGCTGGTGTGTATGTGTTCCTTTAATCTAATCGTATTTCAGCCCAACGAAGCCCACGATTTACAAACTGCCCAACAGCAGTCACATGGCGAATAGTGAAAAACTAGAATTTTAAAAAGCGTCTTTAAAACTTGTTCAACATTGCGTAAAAAAAGTGTCAGAAATAGTCGAATTAAACCTCTTGTTAAACAAATTCTCGAAACGAGCACGATAGAAAAATATACACAATCCATCTATTACAAACGTGACACGTGTCTTCACAATG